TGCCACGTCTCTCAAAGAGTATCTCAAAAAGTACCAATTTGGATCTGACGACCAAACCAAGAAGAAGAAGAAGAAGAAGAAAGATAAGAATCCAAAACCTAATCCCGCCGCCGCCGGCGTCCTCGTCGTCGACGAAGACCCCGTGTGGCAAAAGCCTGTAATTTACGAAGAAGAAGAATTCGTCGGTAATTTCCCCAAACCCTAACCCTAGATTTAAGCTCCGTTACTTTTCCTAATTTCGTGTTCTCAGATTCCTGTTTTGTTATTGCAGACGATGAAGTGCCTTTAGTAGATGAAGATGTTGAGGTGAAGCGTCTGAAGAGGCTCGAAGCGATTCGTTCTCGGAAACCCTATGACGGTATTTCGGAAGATGGAAGCGGTTGGGTTTCGATCTTGAATTCAGATCTCTCTCCGCCTCGCCAGCGACGGTCGAGATTGGACACGCCACCATCAGATAGCGAACTGAATGTAGACGGACGCTAAGGATGGTGATTCTCACCGCCCACGTCAGCGGGCGGCGGCGACGGTTTGGATCAGACGCCGTCGCCGGAGCGAAGACCTTTGGCTGGGAATCGGGTGAGGCTAATGAGGATCTTTCGCGCCACCTGCGAGGAATAGGAATCGATCGCCGGAAGCAGATGCTGATCTCTCTCCACGAATGAGGAGGGCAGGAATGGGTCTGTTGATGACCTTTCTCCTCTTCGGCAGGAACCAGAATCGATCACCTGAAGTAGATGCTGATCTCTCTCCACCAAGGAGAAGAAAAGGGGTTGTAGATGACATTTCTCCTCCACGAAGGAATCGGAATCGATCTTCCAAAGTAGATGCTGATCTCTCTCCGCCAAGGAGAAATAGAAAGGAGCCCGTAAATGACCTTTCTTCTCCACGAAGGACACCTTGCTCGACCTGTCTGGACTAGCTTGGGGCGCAGTATGCTTGAGACATGTGTCAGCCAGTTGAATATTGATCAACACTTATTTAATGACACGACAAGTCCATCCCATTATAAAAAACAACCCATAGGTCATGACCCATGAGGCAGGCTAACATGCAGTGATTCATACTTTTTAATGTAGATTTTTTATCTTTCCATAGTCTGATGTTCGTAAAAACTCTCTAAGATAGTCTTGATGTATTATTGAGGTCACAATAATACGCAACTCAAACTATGTACAAAATAGACTAGTAATGTAATTCGCAGTCCAAATAGACATTAACATCTTTTTTAGATGTTTCAACATAATATGAGAAGCAACTCAATTGACAATTACAAGTTTCGTAGATTTGAATTGCGATTTTAGCAGTATTAGAGATTTTCTAAGCTATATTTAGTATTTGATGACTATTTATAGTCATTTTGATTTATTGAAAACGCTAAAATTATTATGAATCTTTTATCATTTGAAATAACCACATCACTAATTATAAGATTATATGATTTAGACTTTGTAGCAAGATGAAATAAATGTTTCACTCTTTAACTAATCTAGAAAAAGATAAAAAAGGAAAAAAATGGAAAGAAAAAAACAACTAAAGCGAAAAAAAAGTGAGCGGAAGAACCCGGCCTAACCATATATACAGTGAGTCCGGCTGAGTCCTGTCCTGACTTGGAGACAAACTTCACGACCCGGCTGGTTTATGGGTTAGGCCCAGCCTGCCCACATCCCACCCTTTTGGATCCTCTCAAGTCTGTCGGGTTTGAAACCCAGATCCATACTACAAACCCACAAAGGATCCGGATCCGACCCGTCGCCATCCCTACCGCCCAAAGGCGGTGGCTCTCTCCCCTCTTCTCACTTGTCGTTCCCTCTGGAGACCCAATTGAAGCTCGTCCTCAACGCCTTCTTCGTCTTTAAGACTATCTCCAGCAGGTGGGCTTTGGGGGGTTTTTTTGCTCCAGCAGGTGGACTTTTGGGGGGGTGAAATGGAAAATCGGTTTCGGATGGGTGAAAATTTCACCACCGGCTTTTGGGGGGTGAAATTAATTGAGCTCATGTATCAAGCCATGTGTCAAGGCTTGATTGGTTGGAGTTTTTTGTTTTACTCCTAATTTTTAAATGATATATTGGGAGATAAATACTAGGAATTAATTTATAATTTTTATATCAATAATTTTTATTTTTTACCTCTATAAATAGAGATTAGTCTTGTGTAATTTGGACACAAAAAAAATCTTTTGAAAAAACTTTTATATATAAAAAATTAAATTAATAATATATATTATTTATGTAAATATTAAAAAATTATAATTATAAATAAATGAGTTATATTAGTAATACTAATAGTAGTAGTAGTAATATATATGAAATAAGAAAAAGAAATGAATAAATAAGGTGGGGTATATATGTTGGAGTGATGGGGTTAGTGGGTCCCAAATAAAGTAAAAATCTTTTGAAAAAACTCTTGCTGTAGAGATGATAGAAAATAAAGATTGTTGAATTATGTGGATGGGGAATAAAGTGATGTAAAGTGTGTCTGAAAAAGTATCTATCTCGATCTGACGACCAAACCAAGAGGAAGAAGAAGAAGAAGAAAGATAAGAATCTCAGACCCAATCCCGCCGCCGCCGGCTTCCTCGTCGTCGACGAAGACCCCGTGTGGCAAAAGCCTGTAATTTATGAAGAAGAAGAATCCGCTGGTAATTTCCCCAAACCATAACCCTAGGTTTAAGCTCCCTTACTTCTCCTAATTTCGTGTTCTCTGATTCCTGTTTTGTTGTTGCAGACGACGAAGTGCCTTTAGTAGATGAAGATGTTGAGGTGACGCGTCTGAAGAGGCTCGAAGCGATTCGTTCTCGGAAACCCTATGGCGGTATTTCGGAAGATGGAAGCGGTTGGGTTTCGATCTCGAACTCAGATCTCTCTCCGCCTCGCCAGCGACGGTCGAGATTGGACACGCCACCATCGGATAGGGAACCGAATGCAGACGACGCTAAGGATGCTGATCTCTCTCCACCAAGGAGAAGAAAGGGGGTTGTAGATGACCTTTCTCCTCCACGAAGGAATCGGAATCGATCTCCCAAAGTAGATGCTGATCTCTCTCCGCCAAGGAGAAATAGAAAGGAGCCCGTAAATGACCTTTCTCCTCCTCGAAGAAATAGAAATCAATCTCCTGAAGTTGGTGATGATCTTTCTTCTCCAAGGAGAAGCAGGCAACGGTTGGCCGAGGCTTCGAGAAGAGGAGTATCTCCTTCCATTGACCTTTCACCCCCGAGAAGGCGAAAAAACCATATTTGTCTAAGGATGAAGATCTTTCACCTCCAAGAAAGAGAAAGGAACCATCTCCAGCAAAAGAATCAAGGAGGACTGGGTTGTTATCAGCTGAGGAGATTAAAAAGGAGAATGACAAGAAGAGGAAGGAGGAAATATCAAGGTGTCATGCTTAATTTCTTTCATGTATTGCAAAAAAGTTATGTTTGCTGTTTTTGTTATTTGATCTACACATAAAGCTGATAGCTGACTGTATTTTTATGATTATGCAGGTTTGCTGCTATGGATCCATCTATGAGTGGAAAAGGAGCACAACCAGTTTTTCGTGATAAAGAAGGTTTGGTTGATGAAAATTCCCTTAGCTATCTGTATATTTGCCTATTGAATTTTGAGAGCTGATTGTATATTGTTACCTATTGCTTAAAATGATGTTGTTATAGGTAGGCGCATTAATACAGAACAGCTTGCGAGAGCACAAGAAGAAGAGAAACCAAAGGTTTGTCATATCTCTGCATGTTATTCAGAATAATTTGTCCACACACTTTTGCAATTGTTGTTGCTTGTTAATTCAGAAGAAATTGTTAGCACTTGTTCTATAAAATCCTCTTAAGAGCCATACAATTTCATAACTGTTGTTGCGAAGACATTATGTTTAGAATAAGCTTAGTTTTCTTTCTGTTATTAGTTTATGACAGTTGTGGATAGTACTTCATAAGCCAGAACAATTTGTACATGCTAGTGAATAATGCACAATAACTAGCCAATTGGTTTTACTTTTTCTTGCCCTAGCATTTCCCGTGGGCCTGTGGCACAAAGGCAAGGTACAACTAGTGTAATCAGATTAATGCTCAGTACTGTGAAATAAGATCTAATATGTAAGCAAAAGGCAAGGTACAACTAGTGTAATCAGATTAATGCTCAGTACTGTGAAATAAGATCTAATATGTAAGCATCATATGACTAAAACAAAGTTTGTCTTGATTAATGCTCAGTACTGTGAAATAAGATCTAATATGTAAGCATCATATGACTAAAACAAAGTTTGTCTTGTCACTTTTTTGCTTTAGCAGATGATACATTGTCTCGTATACTGTTACATATCATCTTAGAAGCTAATGTATTGTTTGGTATATTCTCTTTGAGTTAGACATGCTGTTTTCTATTCTTAAAAACTCAGGAAGACATTTGTATTTAGTGCAGGTCCGTAGCATCTAAAATACTGGTCAATTTTTTTTGGTCATACTAGCAATTATACCAGTAATATGAACTGATGCATTGATATCTAAACCCCTTATATTTGTTGAATATTGGGTCACGCGAAACAATATGTTTGCTGCGACAAAACCCCATTCTTTGAACACGTGAAACAGTATGAACTAGATTTCATATGCTGGATGAGAAGATTTATTGGGTGCTCCTTGTAGCCAACTTAATTAAGTTGCACTTAAATGCAATGACATAGTTGAGACTAGAAGTGTTGCTGGTGATATTATAGGACTTAAGTGCAGAGATTATTGTGATTACTATAGTGCTAGCTCTTGAGAAGTAGGGAACTAAATGAAGGACAGGCATAAGGTGAATATTGGAACACCCCTGTTTGTGATATTATGAGGGTCTCAGTAGATTTACAGTTTATCAATTGGAATTTTTCTATGCTACAGGAGAATTGAAATAAAGGGCTTAAGCAAATATCAAAAATTTAAGACCCTATGGACTGATGGCCAAGTCTATTTCATTGTCAAAACCACTAATAATATTGTAGATGGCTTTTCTCTTCGAGAAAGAAAATCTTAAGAATTTGGAAGAGGACAAAAAAGCAAAGTGTACAAGTGCTGAGATAAAATCTCTTCGAGAAAGAAAATCTTAAGAATTTGGAAGAGGACAAAAAAGCAAAGTGTACAAGTGCTGAGATAAAATCCCATGATGGATTAAGACCTGCACCTTACTTCTTTTCTTATTCCCAGGTGATAGGGATATACCTACATAATCATTTAAAAAGAGGTTCAGAGTCTTTGATTAGAAGAGGACTGATATATCTTATGGAAATATCTTGCATGACTAACTTGAGCTACTACTGTTCCCTTGTAGATGGTCTGACTAACCTGCCGTAGTGAACTATGAATCGTCCTTGGCAACACTGAATCTCCTGTCTTGTAGATGGTCTGACTAACCTGCCGTAGTGAACTATGAATCGTCCTTGGCAACACTGAATCTCCTGTCTTAAAGGGCAAATTTCATGGAATTATTATGAGCTATTAAGTGTTTTGCAAAAAATTCCGTACACTATTTTTATTGGAAAAAATGCCAGACTTAAATCTGTAGAAAATACCACATACTATCAAAAATTATCCTAATGGCATTAATAGTGTTATTTGAACTCTAAATACCCCTAGCAGTTAAGAAAAGGAGATGGTGACTGTAGTTACTCAAAGTAATTAAGGTTAAAATATCACATGTGTATCACTTGCCAGCTTACCCCTACGTCTGTTGATCGTGCAAATTTAGTCATTTTTTGTATTCTTCTCTAATAAAAATATTTATGTGAAACCTCTTATGGTTCATGGTAGTTTTGTGGAATTGACCATATTTTAAATCTTCATGGCATATCGGCTTATTATATAAAAAAGTAGAGCAAAAAGTAGGATGCTTTGTAACATCTCTCTAATAGTTTGTAGTCGTTCTGTGAAATTGACCATATTTGAAATTTTCATGGAATGCCATTTATTATATAAAAAAGTAGGACTCCCTCCCTCCCTCCCTCCAGATTATTGTCATTTTGATCAGAGGTTAATTTTGCTAATTTTTTTATTTTATTGACTTAAATCTTTATGTCCTATGCAGGCTTTTGTTCAGGAAAAGAACTTGGAATGGGGTAAAGGGTTGGCACAAAAGAGAGAAGCGGAAGCTAGGATCAAGGACTTGGAACTGGAGAAGGATAAACCTTTTGCACGCACTAGGTAATATTCTAATGGTACTGCACTATAGAATATATGGAGCATTTATTTTTTAAATAACTTAAAACTTAATATTTCTATTTGCTAATATTGGTCCATGTATGCCGGATAAACTTAGATGAATTAGTGAGTTCATTGAGAAGTTATTTTTCCAGCTGGGATTTATGTACTAAAAGATGTAATTATACATGGACATCAAGGACCTCCATCACCTACACTATTCATATGATATGTTGATCTAACAACTTGGGTTATAGTATTACATATTCTGTTGTTTAAATCTGTGGGTGAAAACTTGTAATAGTTATTGGAGAGGAGGTGGAAAATGGGAGCTCTTCTGATTTCATTAAAAGTAATCAATATATTTTCTCAAAAACTTGATTATAGTATTGCAAATTATGTTGTTTAAACCTGTGAGTGAAAACTTGAAATAGTTAAGGGAGGAGGGTGAAAAATGGAACCTTTTCTGATATGTCATTAAAAATAATTAATAAATGAAATAGTTAAGGGAGGAGGGTGAAAAATGGAACCTTTTCTGATATGTCATTAAAAATAATTAATAAATTTTCCAGAAACCTTGGATGAGCTCTTTTGATTCTTTACATGAGTATGTACCTCGTTACTTTGTGATTTCTTCTCTGTAGTATATGGGCTGCTACCAAGTATTGGCTGGAGATTTGTCTCCTTTTGAACGATTATTAGGGTCATGGCTGGAAGTTTGACAGACCTTTGGCCTTATTGTAAGAAAATAATTAAATTGACTCATAAAAAGCTTGGTTAAATGATTTCATAGTATTGGTTAAATGATTTCATAATTTTGGTTATCTGAAAGTTGCACATTTCTTGGATCGAGAAAACTGTACCTAAACAAACGTGTCATCCTTAAATGATGTGAAGACATGCATCTACCTTCTTTATGTTGTGAATAAATGGGCAATTTTCATGAATATTTTGAGGAAATGTACGAGGTCTTAACCCTTGTATGATGGAGCTGGTCAAGTAATCTTGCTGTAGTTTTTCGAATCAAACAATAAAATAAATAACTATTCAATTCTACATCTGGAGGAAATATAAAACATTTGTTTTTCCAGCAGTGGTGTGGTATTCAAGTAGGATGTGCTTAGGTTAGGACGTGAATCATTGTTGTTTTACTCCACCATCCTGACTGTTAATTTTCAGCCCTTGTGATCTCTCTTCTTTTGGCATTGAGATTTTGCAACTTGAGCATACCAGAATTCTATTAGTGCCGAAGTTATGGATGATATTTTAGAAAAATTCTGATCCTTACCTTGCACTTGAATACTTGCACGAAAAGCCAAAACTACATGTAATTTGCACTTAATGGATCCATCTTTCATTAAAAATGGGAAGAAAGAAACCTATGAGGATGGACATATATCCATCTTTCATTAAAAATGGGAAGAAAGAAACCTATGAGGATGGACATATATGGTTCTAATGTTAAACAAAATCAAGATACTCAAAAGCTCAACCCATTGCCTGATTGAATATAGTCCCTTGTTCCCTATATTATGCTTGGAAGTTTTAGATTCTGTTGTAACAATATCTAATCTGTCTTTTTTTTTTAAAATCTTTACGCTATGTGTCTGTTCTATGGTGTTTCCCTAAGAGCTTACATGTGCTGACACATAGGTGTGGGCACGTGCCTGTTTGCCCCAGGTTCGAACTGTGGGTCGAACCGCCCAGCCCGCCATGGTTCAAGACTTGACGTGGCCATCAACGGGTCTGGCCCAACCAGGCCCGCAATGGGCTAGGCCCAATCCGACCCACAATTCAATCAGGCCCGGGCTAGGTTTTCCTCTAAACCCGGTGTCAGAGAAATAGGTCCGACCCACTATTGGTCCGGCCCATCCCCGATCGGACCTGACTTGATTCGTCCCGGCCCGTTTTATTTATGTTTTATTTTTTTATTTCAGCCGCCCTACATAATTTTTTTTAAAAAATGATAAGCATCATATTTTATATTAAAAAACAATTATTGCAAATGCTATAAATACACCACTAATTACTTTTCCTTACATTTATTAACTGTCTCTGATTACACAAGAATTAAAATGACCATAGTGAATTACCATGTTACTATTACACATATATAAATGCAATATTTAGTTAGGTATACAAATTGTTGATTAACAAATCAATTTTAGTTGTATTATAAAACTATTTACAGTTTGTTAGTTGAAATCTATTAACTCAATGATATTACATTATTATTTTTTAATCATATTTCAAGAAATTACAATAATTGTATTCAACGAAGCAATTGAAAGTATAAAACTTGATTGCATTCTTTGTTACTAGCGCTAATTACACTAATCCAAAATATAAATTTGAAAGTGGGGTTTGTTTTAAAAATTGAATCAAACAACCTGTACCATTATCCTGACACGTGTTGAGATCGTGAAATTGTAAATGTTGCAGGTTTTATCGTCTGGTCTGGTGGCGGATGGTCAAATAAGGCTACAGATAAAAAAGAAAAATAATAAAAATAAAAATGGTATAAAAATTCGTCGGTCGACGACCCATGATCCAACCTGTCATAGGCTGGGTTTGGCTTGGCCTGACCCTAAGAGGGCCATAGGCCAGGCTAGGTCCAATCCCAGACCCGAGGTCAGAGCCGTCGGCCAGACCCATTCAGGCTTGACCTGCCCCATGCCCACCCCTACTGACTCACGACCTTTTGTTACTTTAAGAATGACAGAACTGATGTATTTTGATACAAATCAGGCATATTAACGTCTTAAGCGATGACATTGGAATTTGTTACAAACAAATGTGGTTCACCTTAGTGTGTGCATGCTAGCTCTTGGGTTTACACAGAACCGTGTGCCTTGGTGATGGGAACGGAGCTAGACTAGTGATTTCCCCCTTTTATGGAGACCCACTTCCATTAAGGGTCTGTTTGGTTGGAGCAAAAAACAATGAAAAGTGGTTTCACTCTTTTAGACGAACACACTGTTTTACAAAACCTCCGCCTAGCCCGTTTAGACGTACGCCTAGACCTACGCGGTACCTAGGCCGCCTAATTAACGCCTAGCGCTTAGGCGGTACCTAGACCTCCTAACTAGTGTCTAGGTGGTATTTAGGCTGCCCATTTAAAGTTTACGAGCGTTTAGGGGAGCATTGTCTGCTTATGTGGATTGCACCTTGTAGGTCTTAGTTGTGATTTTATGTGTTGTAGCCTACACGTCCTCCAAACTTCATTAACCTCCAAATATGAACACCTCCACTACCTCCTCCGACCTTTAGCAAAACCTCATCAACCACCACTTAAATGAAGAAAGAAATCCGCCTAGACACCAGTCCGACATCTGAGCTTTCTATAACATTGACATTCACTATCAATTATTATAATTAAAAAATAAAAAACATCTTAGGCTCTAGCATTGTTAATTATTATTTTGGCTATTTAGTATCTAAGTATGCATGAATTATTGTGGAACTAAGATTGTTATCCTTTTTTGAAAATTTATATGAATTTAATATATATATATTTATCAATTATTATAATTAAATAATTTAAAAATAGTCAAACGTCTAGGCGCACGCCCAGGGGTCTAGGCGATAGGCGCTCGCTCGCCTAGTCTGCCTAGCGCCTTCTGTAACATTATCGAGCTCTCCCGATCTCTGTAACTACTAACAAAGTAAAGAGTACTTCTTAAATATCTATTTAAGTTAGTTAACAACAGTAACTTCAACTTAAGAAGTGTAAGTTAACAGTAAAGTTAAGTTTAAGTTTAAGTTAAACTTAAATTTAAGCTAACAGTAAACTTAAGTTTAAGTTTAAGTTTAAGTTAATTTTAAGTTTTTTGTTGATGGTAAACTTAAGTTTAAGTAAACAGTAAACTTAATTTAACAATATTTTAGTTAACAGTAAGTTCAAGTTTATTGTTAACTTAAACTTAACAGTAACTTATACGTTAATAGTAATTTGCGTTGAGAATGAGTTTTTCACTGTTGAGATGAACTTATAATTTGAGTTGAGAAGTATAAACATAAAAAGAGCTATTGTAATTGGTAAACCAAATAATTAGTTAATAGTGTTAGTATTTTAGTATTTATGCATCTTTGATTGAGTATATGTATATTTATCTTCAAGTATCACAATTAAAAAAATAAAAAAGAAAAAACGCCCAGAAACCGCTTAGGCACCCGCCTAGGCAACTAAACGCTGGGCGCCAAGTTCGACGCCTAGAAGCGAATGTAACATTGGGCAAACGAATTTTCGATCTTTATTTCTGTTTTCATTGTTTCGTTGGCAACAAAAACGAAGAAATCTCCTCTCTAAAGTGGAGAAAAGGGCCCCTAAAAGAGTAAATCCGTTTCAAAGATATTTGAGCCGAAATGGGGAAAAACTTGACAAGTTAATGTGGGTTGGGGTTTTCTTTGTTGGAAGTCAACTTTTACCCTTTTTTAGGAAATCTAGGAAACAGCCCCTAATCCATTCTACATTTGTGTTTCTCTTGTTTGTTTGGCATAAAATAGGGAACTTCCTCTTGTAAGTGGACGAAAGGGTGTACGAAATGGGAATTTGGGTGAATTGGGCAGAAATTTGTACACGGTCACGTGGGTTTAAGGCATTTTAGCTGGAATTCAATTTTTTCCCTTTTCGGAAATCAAGCAAACAGCCCTTATTGGATAATAGGCTTATCTGAGATGTATTTGTCTGTTAGTTGAATTTTTTCGAAATGGGAATTTGGGTGAATTGGACAGAAATTTGTACACGGTCACACGGATTTAGGGCATTTTAGCTGGAATTCAGTTTTTGCCCTTTTTCGGAAATCAAGCAAACAACCCCTTATTGGATAATAGGCTTATCTGAGATATATTTGCCTGTTGGTTGAATTTTTAGGAAAGAAACCTTTAGGGTTTTAACTTTTAAGAAAAAGACAAGTCTAGTAAAATCGGTCTCTTTTTACTTTCTACATACTTGGGAACATCGGGCAGTGAAATACTCTAGCATCAGAATAATCATGCATTGCATCTTCTTGCTTGTAAAAGATGCAACAGGAGAAGAGGATGAGGTGTGTGTTATAAAAAGTTATATCCATGACTATTAGTCTATTACTATATTGAATAAACTGAAACATGTTCTCTCTTGGAATCACAAGAAAAAGGCAGCAGTAAAAATACTAGATGAATACCAGTATCTATTCGATGGTTTTAGTTGTTTTAATTAAAGAAAGAGGGTCAAGGTTATAGTATGTAAGATAATCTGTGGGAGGGTTAATTTAAGAGGAACAACTTGTATAGATACAGTACTCGATGATTTACTTCCGACAGAAGAAAGGATATGAAAATCTAATAATAAATAGGTAACCGGATGGGCGAGGATGAGAGGAAAGATGTCAGTGGACGGTTCTAGATACTGTACCGGGAGAAGTCCATAGACTTAAAAAGGTTTCATGAATTTTAGCTATGAATTACGGCAATGAATTACTTAATGGTCTATTTCCCTGATGAGAAAGTGGAAAGTCACAAGAAAAAAAAGGTTTTGGTAGAAATATAAGATCAAACTAGCATTCATATGATGGTTTTAAGTGTTAGTAGTGAAAAAAAAGGTTTTGGTAGAAATATAAGATCAAACTAGCATTCATATGATGGTTTTAAGTGTTAGTAGTTTTAAATGAAGAGGGAAATTTTTTATGGAATCAAACTAGCATTCATATGATGGTTTTAAGTGTTAGTAGTTTTAAATGAAGAGGGAAATTTTTTATGGACGGTATTTGATGGCTTTGCTTCCAGGCAGTAGAAATGATGAATAGATAACAATTAACAAGTATGGATGGGGATAGTAGGAAGTAAGAGCTCCCATAGACGACTCTATATTGTGTCCAGCAAAGTCTACATACTAAAAAAATTTCATGAATGTTTGCAAATTGCAATGAATTAATAGGAGGACGATAAAGTATTTCAAAACATATGTGAGCATAATTCTTAGATCGGTTCTGGAGACCGTCATTCATGTATTCATACAAATTGCATTGCATCTGATTATACGAAAGTTCTGTAGCATGAACACAAAAAGTAGGGAAGAGAAAAGTAAAGAAAGGAAAATATAAAATTTTTTTGAATGTTGGGTTTACTTCTGCACCACCTTTTCTCATTGCCAACCGCATCCGGCTATATTGCCTCCGCCCCCATTTCTTATTAAGGAGACATGATTAGGCCTTCAAGCTTTTACATCATTCCATTGGTTGCCAACCGTGGTGAGTCTGGTGACGACAATCT